TTCACCGCGGGTGACCAAGCCACGGCTACTAAGCCCCCCCGCCACGACAAGGCGGGAACCCGTTCGGGGGGGAACCTAACCTAACCTAACCTAACCTTTTTTTCTTTTTTTTTTTTTTTACGTGGGGAAATCCTCATGGATACCTCCGGCCGCGGGGGCAACCGGAAGGTTATGCCGGACTCCTACCGGCTAAAACCCCACTGTTCCTCCTCGCACGTGCGTGCGGGGCCGCGGGAATCCAAATTCTTCCGCAGCCCCACACTAGTGCTGGCCCGATCTGTCTGGGCCTCGTCTCCTGCACGGGGTAGCGAGGTGTTCAGCTACCCCCCTCCACAGCCTCCAACTCCACCTGCGTATCGGACCCCCCCGAGTCCGATACACGGAGGCCATGGGGCCAGGAAAAACTAGCACTCAGAAGCACCAGCCTTCCCGACCCCAGCGACGGATCTGGTCTATGGCTCCGCCGCCAACCAAGATTCGGCTGCGGAGGGTAGGGAGAGCGGCGCCTCGCAATACCGACACTCCTCTCCCCCCGCAGCCCCACCACCACCGCATCATTTAACGGTGCGACCCCGTCCGAGTCGCGGAGGATAGGGCGAGTGGCGCATCGCCATACCAACACTCCTCTTCCTCCGCGACTCCACCTCGGCTGCAGCGGTAGAGGGTGCGGACTCCCCTCTCACCGCAGCCCACCGACACACATCCGAAGTGGGCTTCCCAAGCCCACTCGGAGCGGCCACCTCGGACCGGCCCTACACCACGGGCCAACCCAGGGGTTCCTCTTAGTTCACCGCGGGTGACCAAGCCACGGCTACTAAGCCCCCCCGCCACGACAAGGCGGGAACCCGTTCGGGGGGGAACCTAACCTAACCTAACCTAACCTTTTTTTCTTTTTTTTTTTTTTTCGTGGGGAAATCCTCATGGATACCTCCGGCTGCGGGGGCAACCGGAAGGTTATGCCGGACTCCTACAGGCTAAAACCCCACGGTGCCTCCTCGCACGTGCGCGCGGGGCCGCGGGAATCCAAATTCTTCCGCAGCCCCACACTAGTGCTGGCCCGGTCTGTCCGGGCCTCGTCTCCTGTACGGTGTAGCGAGGTGTTCAGCTACCCCCCTCCACAGCCTCCAACTCCACCTGCGTATCGGACCCCCCCGAGTCCGATACGCGGAGGCCATGGGGCCAGGAAAATCGACCGCTTATTAGCGCCCGCTTTCCCGACCCCAGCGGCGGATCTGGTCTATGGCTCCGCCGCCAACCAAGATTCGGCTGCGGAGGGTAGGGAGAGCGGCGCATCGCAATACCGACACTCCTCTCCCCCCCCAGCCCCACCACCACCGCATCAATTAACGGTGCGGCCCCGTCTGAGTCGCGGAGGATAGGGCGAGTGGCGCATCGCCATACCAACACTCCTCTTCCTTAGGGGGGGCTTAGTAGCCGTGGGCTACTAAGCCCCCCCGCCACGACAAGGCGGGAACCCGTTCGGGGGGGAACCTAACCTAACCTAACCTAACCTAACCTTTTTTTTTTTTTTTTTTACATGGGGAAATGCCTACGCATACCCGCCTCGCGGGGGCAAGGACGGGTTATGTCGGACTCGCACCGACTAAAACCCCATGGTGTTCCAACCTCGTCGCATATTGGCAGGGCCACGGGAACGCTTTCGCACACTTCCGCGGCCCCACCTGCGCTGGCCGCCCCATGGCGGCCCCTCCTCGGGAGAGGACCACTCCTCCCCCATCTCCCTCTCAGGTAAGGCGCACCAGAACACATGGCGCGCCCTCCTCCTCGGCCTCCAATTTCACATGCGCAACGGACGCCCCCGTGTCCGATGCGCGAAGGCCATGGGGCCAGGAAAAACTAGCACTCAGAAGCACCAGCCTTCCTGACCCCAGCGGCGGATCTGGTCTCGGGCTCCGCCGCGAACCAAGTTTCGGCCGCGGAGGGTAGGGAGAGCGGCGCCTCGCAATACCGACACTCCTCTCCCCCCGCGGCCCCACCACCACCGCATCAACGGTGCGGCCCCGTTTGAGTCGCGGAGGATAGGGCGAGTGGCGCATCGCCATACCAACACTCCTCCTCCTCCGCGACTCGACCTCGGCTGCAGCGGTAGAGGGTGCGGACTCCCCTCTCACCGCAGCCCACCAACACACATCCGAAGTGGGCTTCCCAAGCCCACTTGGAGTGGCCACCTCGGGCCGGCCCTACACCTCGGGCCAGCCAAGGGGTTCCTCTTTGTTCACCGTGGTTGACCAAGCCACGGCTACTAAGCCCCCCCGCCACGACAAGGCGGGAACCCGTTCGGGGGGGAACCTAACCTAACCTAACCTAACCTATCGCAAATTGATCAAATTACGAAGTGTGATACACCGAAAGATTCGTCTCGACGAGACGAACATAGTGATAAGTGAAAAAAGTGGAAAAAGTGCGAAAAATAAAAAGTTATCACGGAAAAACCATTTTTTCCTAACCCCAAAAACTTTAAAGTGAAACGCTGCCTAATCTAAATCGACAACATAGTGGTTTTTTAGTGTCGTTAGAAGCGCCCTGATTAGCTCTAACTTATTGAGCAATCAGAAAAATTTTTCGACGCTCGCGCACGGAAATATTGCCAAAATTAAAAAACCACGTGGCCACGTGTTTTAAGACCTGAAGGTGTGCGGCTAAATTTGACGACGGTTTTATAAAGAAGACGGCAAGCCAAATCATTTGACACCTTGGCCAAAAAATTTGGTCAAGAAATAAAGAAGTTATGACGCTGTGAAGATACAGATTTTCAGTCAAAAAACTTAAAAATAAAAAACTTGAAATTTTCAGAGAGGACATATATGTTTTTTAACGTCATATGAAAGAGCAATTCAAGACCTACAAGAAGACACCAAAATTTCGAAATTTGGAGTGCAAACAATAATTGTAAGAGACTTTTTATTATTAAGCTAAATCACGTGGTGTCCTGAAAATGCGCCTGAAAAATCTGAAAAAATTCATAAAGGTAGGAAATACTTATTATTATTAACCCAAATTTTTTCAAAATTTTCCTATTGTTAATTTTCGGATTAGGCTCTTTTTGCGGTTCTTGGTTTTTATAATTCATTTTTCAAAATTAAAAATTTCCAAAAATTTCCAAGAAAAAATTTTTTCCAAAATTACTATCATATTCCCAATTTAATAAGCTATTCAAAACATATTTTTTCAGAATGTTAGAGCAAGTACTTTCAGAGATACGAATTTATTTGTGGGAGGTTGGAGCTCCTGAAAACCGCACGAAAACTTGTTTTTCAGTTTTCAGGAGAACGGAGCCTCCTAGCTCAATTTTAACATTTTTTTTTTCGGGGGGGGCCCCCCCCGTCACCCCTCCACACTATCCATCTAAGGGATAGTCTTCGCCACCCACCGCATCATTTTGGCTGATTTTCAACCCCCTACCCCTAACTTGACTTCTGGACTTAGTCTCTGGGGGATGAAAAATTTAAAATTGTAATTACACAGTAACTAGTGATCCGATTTTGACGGGGTTTTTTGCAAATAATTGTATAAAAATAGATCTAGTAATTTAGTTTTAGACTGACTCTACATAGAGCCTTGTAAAAATTTTTTAAAAATTTTTTTTTTATTTTGTACCAGACCAAGATATATTTGGAAATTAAGTGTGACAATTGTAATATATAGTTTAATGTGTAGTTTATTAGATTAAGGTTAGAAAATAGAGAAACTCTAGGTAGAGCAAGGAAAAAAAAATTTTTTCAAATTTTTTTTCTAAAATTTTTTTTAAAGTAACTTAGTTCTTAATTAAATCTTAAATATATATTGATAGAGACACAGACAGACTCTAGGTAGAGTTATTATAGATTATTAAAGTAAAGAATTTCTAGAAATTCTAATTGCAACATTTATATTGTATTGTACGTGTATACTTAGTGACATATTAACGAAGATAGAGTCGAGACTCTACATAGAGCAAAAAATTTTTTATAATAATATTGCTGTGACGCGGCATTTGTGTGGTTTGAGGAATTAAATACTGCACCTTAACAACCTTCAAAACTTCCAAAAAATTTTTCAAAAAATTTTTGAAAAAGGATTTTATAACTTTTACAAACCTAAAAATTTATTATAAATTGACGTTGTTATTTGTGTTGTGTATTGTTGTTTGTTTTACTTTATTTTATTTTACTTTAATTATTTTTGCTTTATTTTTATTTTTATTTTATTTTATAACTTGTTTTATTGGTTATTAATACCCGAGACGCGTTCCCCTGAAAATGTTCGGCATTCGTACGCCCGTTAAAAAGACTGAGGATAGTGCCAGGGACACGAGTCCTCCGGAATCTCCAAGCAGGAGAGAGAAGGCTGGGCCTTCTCCTAAAAGCGATAGTGTGTTGCAAGTCCCTAGCGTAAGGAAAAGCATTGGTGAGTGGGAAATGGGAAAAATAGATATGGAACCTACAACACAAATCTCACCAAAAAAGGTAGCCCCGGTGGCTCGACCAAAACAGAAGATTGTTCCATCTCAGGAGACTAGAGCAACAGCGCGCAAACCAGCAGCTGAGAACACAGACAGCTCTCCAAAAACCGTAACTACAAAATTCACGGACCGGATATCGGAGGCTAGAGCTTGTCTCCATAAGGCTAAGTTACATTTGAGTAACTCTCGAAACCTGAGGACCGATATAAAAACGGAGGTTACTCAGGCAATAGAGAGGCTCTATCAATTAGTGAAAGAGGCGGAAACAGATAAGAACATTGTGAAAGAACAAAAGCCTAAAGACCAGGAGAAAAAAGGATTACAAGATGAAAACAGGAAAAGAAAGGAAGAAGAACAAGCCTTAATGAAGAAATTGGAAGAACATGGCAAATTATTAGAGGAAAGCAAAATTGAAATGGAACAACTAAGAGAAGAAATGAAAAAGCAGGAAATGAAAGAAGACAGAGGAACATACGCAAGTATAGTTGCTGGGCCACTAAGGGGCCCATCCTCACCTCTACCCTTACCTTCAGAAAACATGGCCATGCATTCAGTGATTATCACGTCGAATGATGAAAAAGAAACAGGAGATCAGGTCATGGATAGAATAAGGAACGCAATAAATGCCAAGGAAGAAGGGTTAAAGATAGACAAAATTAGGAAGGCAAGGGATAGAAAAGTAATACTGGGATGCCGAACGGAGGAGGAGATAAATAAAGTCAAGAAGAGATTAAAACAGGCAGGGAAAGATCTAAATGTAAGCGATATAAAAAACAAGGATCCACTTGTTATCTTAAGAGACGTTATGCAATATAATAAGGATGAAGAGATAATTAAGGCAATCAGAACGCAAAATAAACAGCTCTTCAAGGAAATAACAGAAAAAGAGGATCGTATGGAGATTAAATACCGGAAAAGAACAAGAAACCCGCATACGTCCCACATTATGATGAGAGTTTCGCCTCAGATTTGGAACCGTCTTATCGAGGCTGAGGTCATTCACATTGACTTACAACGAGTAAGAGTAATGGACCAGTCCCCCTTAGTTCAATGTTCGCGTTGTCTGGAATATGGACATAGTAAAAGAATATGCACAGAAACAACTGACGTTTGCAGCCATTGCGGAGGCCCACACCTCAAAACAGAATGTGCTGACTGGCTGTCTGGAGCAATACCAGAATGCAGAAATTGCAACAAAGCGAACCATGACAGAAAAGATCACAACGCTTTTAGCTCAGACTGTCCGGTTAGAAGAAAATGGGAAGTACTCGCCAGGTCGACCGTAGCATACTGCTAAGGTTGACTCAAACTCGACCATGGAACCTAACATCTGTACCCACCGATATCACGCGATCCAGACGAATCTTCAGAGGTGTGAACTAGCCACGGCCGAATTAATAACAGAGGAGACCAAGCGAGGGATATCCTTCGCTTTGGTTCAAGAGCCCTATATCGGTCGAATTGGTCAAATGAAGAGCTACTCGGGGACGAGAATAGCACAAAGCGACAGATGCCAGAACACTGAAAAAGTGGTTAAGGCAGCTATTGTGCTATTCAATGACGCCATCGACATGACCCAATGCCCCGGCCTAACAACAGAAAATATCGCAGTCGCTAAGCTGAGTACCGGGGCATGGGACTTGGGGGTGGTGTCCGTCTACCTAGAGGGCGATACACCAATCGACCCTTATTTAGAAATGATCGATGCGGCCGTGGTGGGTCTAAGGACAAGACACGTGATACTCGGTGGGGACGTAAATGCATGGAACACCTGGTGGGGAAGCCGAAAAACAAACAGCAGAGGAATAGAGGTCGCCGCAAAGCTTGACCAATTAGAACTTCATATTCTGAACAGGGGGGCTGAGCCCACTTTTGACACCTATAGAGGTGGGAAGAGGTTCTCCAGCTGCGTGGATTTAACTACGTGCTCGACTAGCCTACTCGGGAGGGTGGACGACTGGAGACTATCCGACGAAATAACCAGTTCGGACCACAGGGCAATCCTATTTGACATCAATTTAGGAAAATCAATAGGCACCAATATAAAAAGAAGTACTAGGCAATATAATACAAAAAAGGCGAATTGGGGCGAGTTTCGTGAGAAACTCGTCCAAATTTGGAATGAGGAAAGAATAAATAAAGAAGAAATAGATAAAATAACAACAACGGACGAACTAGAAATAAAAATAGAACAGTACATAAATTCAGTAACAGAAGCATGTAGAAACAGTATCCCAAAATTAAAAACTAAAAAACAAATGGGATTGCCCTGGTGGACTCATGAACTAACACAACGTAAAAAGGAGGTCTCCAGGTTGAAGCGGCGTATTTCATACGCAGCGCCAGTCCGTCGCGGGTGGGTGGTCGAGCAATATATGAGAGCGAAAGAAGAATATCATCAAGAAGTAAAAAGAGCTCAGACCACCAGCTGGAAGGACTTCTGTTGTAAGCAAGACCGAGAAACAATGTGGGACGGTATATATAGGGTTATAAGTCGCACATTGACACGGCAAGAAGATGTTCCACTTGTTCAGGACGGGAGGACGCTAGACGGCGAGGAATCGGCTAGGATATTGGCGGAAACCTTTTATCCACAGGATAGCACTGAAGACGACGACACGGAACACACGCAAATAAGAGCTACAGCGGAAACTGTAAACGAAGGGTCACATGATAGTCCATGTGACCCACCATTTACAACAGAAGAGCTTATGTGGGCCGTGTCTAGCTTCAGTGCAAAAAAGGCACCCGGTGACGATGGGCTAACAGCAGACATTTGTGAAGCGGCCGTCACCTTGGACTTAGCATTGTTCCTGGCACTAGTAAACAGATGCCTCAGTCTTGCATACTTCCCCATCAAGTGGAAAAGGGCAGTAGTTGTAGTATTGAGAAAGCCTGGCAAAGAAAATTACGCACACCCTAAATCCTACAGGCCGATTGGGCTTTTGCCTGTACTGGGGAAAATTTATGAAAAAATGTTAATCCGCAGAATAAAGTGGCACATCGTTCCGAAGATAAGCCGGAACCAGTACGGCTTTATGCCACAACGCAGCACGGAGGACTCCCTCTATGACATGATGCAGTTTATTAAGGCAAAACTGAAAGACAGAAAGTTGATTCTGCTTATATCATTGGACATAGAGGGAGCCTTCGATAACGCATGGTGGCCGGCGATACGGTGTAGGCTCGCGGAGATTGGGTGTCCGGTAAATCTGAGGCAGGTAGTAGATAGCTATCTTAAAGATAGAACGGTGTGCCTCAGATATGCCGGGGCCGAATATTTAAGAAAGACCACTAAAGGGTGTGTGCAAGGCTCGATCGGGGGTCCAATTTTTTGGAATATTCTTCTGGATCCACTCCTGAGGGAGTTAAGTGCAAAAGGGTCCCGTTGCCAGGCTTTTGCGGACGACGTGGTCCTGATGTTCTCCGGGGATACGGCACAACAGGTGCAGGAGCTGGCCAATGAAATTCTCGAACATGTCCGGAGGTGGGGAGTCGGTAATAAGCTTAGTTTTGCGCCTCATAAAACTAAAGCTATGGTCGTAACAAATAAGCTCAAGTATGACTCACCACTTCTGGAGATGGGCGGGAAGGACATTGAGCTCTCCAAAGAAATCAAAATACTCGGCCTCACAGTTGACGACAAGCTTACCTTTAATACACACATCAATAAAACATGTTGTAAAGTTCAAAACATATATCGTCAACTGTCGAGAGCTGCAAAGATACATTGGGGCCTGAACCCGGAGATCATTAGGACCATCTATATTGCAGTAGTTGAGCCGATAGTCATGTATGCGGCCAGCGTATGGGCATCAGCAGCCAATAAACATAAGGTAAAGAAACAACTTGATATGGTGCAACGCGGGTTTGTGCAAAAAGTTATAAAATCTTATAGGACAGTTTCTCTACACTCGGCCCTACTACTCGCCGGGTTACTTCCGTTGGACCTTAGGGTCCAGGAAGCAGCCCTCCTTTATGAAATAAAGAAGGGCTTCTCCCGGCGGATAGTGGGTGACCGAGATGTGGAGACCAAAATTGAATACTCCAAGACTACACATCCCGCGAAACAGCCCGGATTGAAATTTACAAATCTTCATTTCTTTCGCTCTTTTTGCTTCAATTAGGTCCGTCTAGTGTAGAAACCGCCATCTGCACTCTAATCTGTAAAAAATAATACGCGAAATTAGAGAAAATCGCTACTTACCTAAACCGAGGTATAGTGGTGAACCCCTTACATCTATATAAATTCAACTACCAATTCGTTAATAACTTTCCTGAAAATCGGTCTTTTTAGTTCAAATCTTCTCTAAATAGTGTAATCAATTAGCCCCCATATATCTTAGTAGTTTTCTTAGTAAATATTTACCATTAAATAATTAAATTTCGTATTTTTTATTCTAATATAGTTGTAAATTCATAATTAAAACATAAATTCCTCTCTAACTTTGCTGAAAATCGCTCTTTTTTGTTCATATTTTCTTTTTATATAGTGTAATTAACTGCCCCCCGTAATTCCCTGTAGTTTTTTCCTAAAATTTTCACAGTTTAATAAGAAATTTTCATAAAATTTGTTTTCTTAGAGTCGTAAATTCATACAATTTTTAAAATTTTACAAATCTTCATTTCTTTCGCTCTTTTTGCTTCAATTAGGTCCGTCCAGTGTAGAAACCGCCATCTGCACTCTAATCTGTAAAAAATAATACGCGAAATTAGAGAAAATCGCTACTTACCTAAACCGAGGTATAGTGGTGAACCCCTTACATCTATATAAATTCAACTACCAATTCGTTAATAACTTTCCTGAAAATCGGTCTTTTTAGTTCAAATCTTCTCTAAATAGTGTAATCAATTAGCCCCCATATATCTTAGTAGTTTTCTTAGTAAATATTTACCATTAAATAATTAAATTTCGTATTTTTTATTCTAATATAGTTGTAAATTCATAATTAAAACATAAATTCCTCTCTAACTTTGCTGAAAATCGCTCTTTTTTGTTCATATTTTCTTTTTATATAGTGTAATTAACTGCCCCCCGTAATTCCCTGTAGTTTTTTCCTAAAATTTTCACAGTTTAATAAGAAACTTTCATAAAATTTGTTTTCTTAGAGTCGTAAATTCATACAATTTTTAAAATTTTACAAATCTTCATTTCTTTCGCTCTTTTTGCTTCAATTAGGTCCGTCCAGTGTAGAAACCGCCATCTGCACTCTAATCTGTAAAAAATAATACGCGAAATTAGAGAAAATCGCTACTTACCTAAACCGAGGTATAGTGGTGAACCCCTTACATCTATATAAATTCAACTACCAATTCGTTAATAACTTTCCTGAAAATCGGTCTTTTTAGTTCAAATCTTCTCTAAATAGTGTAATCAATTAGCCCCCATATATCTTAGTAGTTTTCTTAGTAAATATTTACCATTAAATAATTAAATTTCGTATTTTTTATTCTAATATAGTTGTAAATTCATAATTAAAACATAAATTCCTCTCTAACTTTGCTGAAAATCGCTCTTTTTTGTTCATATTTTCTTTTTATATAGTGTAATTAACTGCCCCCCGTAATTCCCTGTAGTTTTTTCCTAAAATTTTCACAGTTTAATAAGAAACTTTCATAAAATTTGTTTTCTTAGAGTCGTAAATTCATACAATTTTTAAAATTTTACAAATCTTCATTTCTTTCGCTCTTTTTGCTTCAATTAGGTCCGTCCAGTGTAGAAACCGCCATCTGCACTCTAATCTGTAAAAAATAATACGCGAAATTAGAGAAAATCGCTACTTACCTAAACCGAGGTATAGTGGTGTACCCCTTACATCTATATAAATTCAACTACCAATTCGTTAATAACTTTCCTGAAAATCGGTCTTTTTAGTTAAAATCTTCTCTAAATAGTGTAATCAATTAGCCCCCATATATCTTAGTAGTTTTCTTAGTAAATATTTACCATTAAATAATTAAATTTCGTATTTTTTATTCTAATATAGTTGTAAATTCATAATTAAAACATAAATTCCTCTCTAACTTTGCTGAAAATCGCTCTTTTTTGTTCATATTTTCTTTTTATATAGTGTAATTAACTGCCCCCCGTAATTCCCTGTAGTTTTTTCCTAAAATTTTCACAGTTTAATAAGAAACTTTCATAAAATTTGTTTTCTTAGAGTCGTAAATTCATACAATTTTTAAAATTTTACAAATCTTCATTTCTTTCGCTCTTTTTGCTTCAATTAGGTCCGTCCAGTGTAGAAACCGCCATCTGCACTCTAATCTGTAAAAAATAATACGCGAAATTAGAGAAAATCGCTACTTACCTAAACCGAGGTATAGTGGTGAACCCCTTACATCTATATAAATTCAACTACCAATTCGTTAATAACTTTCCTGAAAATCGGTCTTTTTAGTTCAAATCTTCTCTAAATAGTGTAATCAATTAGCCCCCATATATCTTAGTAGTTTTCTTAGTAAATATTTACCATTAAATAATTAAATTTCGTATTTTTTATTCTAATATAGTTGTAAATTCATAATTAAAACATAAATTCCTCTCTAACTTTGCTGAAAATCGCTCTTTTTTGTTCATATTTTCTTTTTATATAGTGTAATTAACTGCCCCCCGTAATTCCCTGTAGTTTTTTCCTAAAATTTTCACAGTTTAATAAGAAACTTTCATAAAATTTGTTTTCTTAGAGTCGTAAATTCATACAATTTTTAAAATTTTACAAATCTTCATTTCTTTCGCTCTTTTTGCTTCAATTAGGTCCGTCCAGTGTAGAAACCGCCATCTGCACTCTAATCTGTAAAAAATAATACGCGAAATTAGAGAAAATCGCTACTTACCTAAACCGAGGTATAGTGGTGAACCCCTTACATCTATATAAATTCAACTACCAATTCGTTAATAACTTTCCTGAAAATCGGTCTTTTTAGTTCAAATCTTCTCTAAATAGTGTAATCAATTAGCCCCCATATATCTTAGTAGTTTTCTTAGTAAATATTTACCATTAAATAATTAAATTTCGTATTTTTTATTCTAATATAGTTGTAAATTCATAATTAAAACATAAATTCCTCTCTAACTTTGCTGAAAATCGCTCTTTTTTGTTCATATTTTCTTTTTATATAGTGTAATTAACTGCCCCCCGTAATTCCCTGTAGTTTTTCCTAAAATTTTCACAGTTTAATAAGAAACTTTCATAAAATTTGTTTTCTTAGAGTCGTAAATTCATACAATTTTTAAAATTTTACAAATCTTCATTTCTTTCGCTCTTTTTGCTTCAATTAGGTCCGTCCAGTGTAGAAACCGCCATCTGCACTCTAATCTGTAAAAAATAATACGCGAAATTAGAGAAAATCGCTACTTACCTAAACCGAGGTATAGTGGTGAACCCCTTACATCTATATAAATTCAACTACCAATTCGTTAATAACTTTTCTGAAAATCGGTCTTTTTAGTTCAAATCTTCTCTAAATAGTGTAATCAATTAGCCCCCATATATCTTAGTAGTTTTCTTAGTAAATATTTACCATTAAATAATTAAATTTCGTATTTTTTATTCTAATATAGTTGTAAATTCATAATTAAAACATAAATTCCTCTCTAACTTTGCTGAAAATCGCTCTTTTTTGTTCATATTTTCTTTTTATATAGTGTAATTAACTGCCGCCCGTAATTCCCTGTAGTTTTTTCCTAAAATTTTCACAGTTTAATAAGAAACTTTCATAAAATTTGTTTTCTTAGAGTCGTAAATTCATACAATTTTTAAAATTTTACAAATCTTCATTTCTTTCGCTCTTTTTGCTTCAATTAGGTCCGTCCAGTGTAGAAACCGCCATCTGCACTCTAATCTGTAAAAAATAATACGCGAAATTAGAGAAAATCGCTACTTACCTAAACCGAGGTATAGTGGTGAACCCCTTACATCTATATAAATTCAACTACCAATTCGTTAATAACTTTCCTGAAAATCGGTCTTTTTAGTTAAAATCTTCTCTTAATAGTGTAATCAATTAGCCCCCATATATCTTAGTAGTTTTCTTAGTAAATATTTACCATTAAATAATTAAATTTCGTATTTTTTATTCTAATATAGTTGTAAATTCATAATTAAAACATAATTTCCTCTCTAACTTTGCTGAAAATCGCTCTTTTTTGTTCATATTTTCTTTTTATATAGTGTAATTAACTGCCCCCCGTAATTCCCTGTAGTTTTTTCCTAAAATTTTCACAGTTTAATAAGAAACTTTCATAAAATTTGTTTTCTTAGAGTCGTAAATTCATACAATTTTTAAAATTTTACAAATCTTCATTTCTTTCGCTCTTTTTGCTTCAATTAGGTCCGTCCAGTGTAGAAACCGCCATCTGCACTCTAATCTGTAAAAAATAATACGCGAAATTAGAGAAAATCGCTACTTACCTAAACCGAGGTATAGTGGTGTACCCCTTACATCTATATAAATTCAACTACCAATTCGTTAATAACTTTCCTGAAAATCGGTCTTTTTAGTTAAAATCTTCTCTAAATAGTGTAATCAATTAGCCCTCATATATCTTAGTAGTTTTCTTAGTAAATATTTACCATTAAATAATTAAATTTCGTATTTTTTATTCTAATATAGTTGTAAATTCATAATTAAAACATAAATTCCTCTCTAACTTTGCTGAAAATCGCTCTTTTTTGTTCATATTTTCTTTTTATATAGTGTAATTAACTGCCCCCCGTAATTCCCTGTAGTTTTTTCCTAAAATTTTCACAGTTTAATAAGAAACTTTCATAAAATTTGTTTTCTTAGAGTCGTAAATTCATACAATTTTTAAAATTTTACAAATCTTCATTTCTTTCGCTCTTTTTGCTTCAATTAGGTCCGTCCAGTGTAGAAACCGCCATCTGCACTCTAATCTGTAAAAAATAATACGCGAAATTAGAGAAAATCGCTACTTACCTAAACCGAGGTATAGTGGTGAACCCCTTACATCTATATAAATTCAACTACCAATTCGTTAATAACTTTCCTGAAAATCGGTCTTTTTAGTTCAAATCTTCTCTAAATAGTGTAATCAATTAGCCCCCATATATCTTAGTAGTTTTCTTAGTAAATATTTACCATTAAATAATTAAATTTCGTATTT